CATACAATATGAAAAATGTTGAGAGAATCATATACTCAAGAACTACAAAACAAAGAACGATATACAAACCTGACAGAAATATATGTATTAATAATTTGTCTGCTAAATCGAACGAGAATCGAAAGTGTCTCCTTTTTAGCTTTCCAGAGTTTGTACTAACGATCACTTTAATAGTTAATTCTGCATCGTTGATAGCTGTGGTGGTCCGCCGTGTTGCTTAACAATCTCCCTTCTCAAAGAAATACAGGTAACATAACGTTAGCGAAGCATAATAAGTAAGAAAATAAACTTTTGTTGTACGGAATGCAGGCTGACAATTTGAAAGTCGGTGAAAGAAAGAGAATATATCCAAGTCCTGAACGAAGACATTACGTTTTTTCCCCAATCTACGAGCGAACGAACTTAAGGAGGGTCACAAAGCGACCACGATATGCATCAATTAGTCTACTTGACCTCGTAATTATCGTGAATGACCGGTACGATCCCACACCCACGATCCGGATACATAATCACGTTAATTACGAGCGCTGACGGTAATTTAACATTTCGAGGTTCGACTTGAAAACCCGGCCGCATTAACAAACAAGAAAAAATTCATGTAAAACGTGGCCATTCTACGTGTTCGATTATGAATTACTATACGTAGGTATATACGAAAAACAATTGGTGTGATAGGACTAATTTTAAGTTTTGAAATACATAGATTTTTAATCCAAGTGTCTTCTACATCATTTAGTAATGAAAAGAAAAATATATAAATTCTAAATTCCATATTTCATAAATATGTATTATATTTATCTTTTCATCTTCGTAAATTGTAAATTTTAATTGCAAGAAGAACTCCGACGAGAGTAACTCAACCGAAATTTAATTGTATGCATTAGGTTACATTTAGAAGCACTGCCAGCCAATAATGGAGTTAGAAACCGTACGCCTGGCCTTGACAGTTACCATGAGACAATTTATAGACGTGTAGTATGTTTAAATGTGTACCTATTGCATCGTATGATGTAAATCTCTTCCTGAGCGTAATTTCGTGAATTTCTAATTCAAAAACATCAGTCGTTCGTCTCAAAGGAAATTATGTATTAGAATATTAGTTTAATAGTATAAATCACATGATTTATCATTTTGATGTTCTTTAAATTCTAGATAAATAGCTTATTATGTCTTGGTAATTTTTTTTTTTAATCATAAGAACAAATTTTATAAGAAAATACAAATTAATTATAGTGAAATATGTTTTCTAATGTGGATCTCTGCTCATAAACGTTTAGAATAGTTTTAGGGTATTGGATGTTAAAATCTCTTTTGGTAAAGGGTACGTATAAGGTAAACGATTAAGTAATTTGTGAAAGTGGCCCTGTAATCGTTTTGCACAGAGGATTATATAACGATTAAGAGTTTAAGGACGATGAAATAATTGAAATTTTGGTAGTGAAATTTTTTAAGCGGAAATTGTTGCGGATAATTCACGATCGACGGGAAGATCACATCGTGATCATCGTTGGAGATCGAGCCGCACCTACTGACCCAGTAAACACGTAATCTACGCACATTCATGAACGCAATAGTATTCACACCTGTACGGACAAGTATGTTTTGCTACGATACATGCACGTAGTATAGTTTTCCTGTAACAGCAGTATTCTTCTTCGCTATTATGAGACGTGCTGGTTACGTCACTCGTAACGTTTTCATATTTTTTATAACGTTAAACGAAAGAAGAAGTTCCTATCAACTCTTTAAATACTAAATTATAGATTACAGACATCCAACTTTAGCCAGGAGTGTAAATCTCTATTGTTAAATATACAAAGAATTAAATTTAATATATTTTTGTACAGTTTTATATTTACTTCTGGAAACGAATTAATTTTTTTTCTAATTAAGAATTTTAAGCCACGGTTTTGTTCCAACATTTTATCGCGAACGAAAGTGATAGTGGACGTTTCCTGTACCCCAAGTGTGTCCTCCTTATTCGTCATAAAATTATACTTTGTACTATAAACCCATGGTCGATATCGGATATAAGAAGATAGTTCCTGTCGAGGCTGACTTGTACTTGATCCGTAATTATCATACGTGAAATTACTGACATATTTTTAACCATTAAAATATTTATACTACGGTACGTTTGCGGTGTCATGGCCGGGACGTTAAAACTTTCTGTAACACACTTTATCAATTGTTGTGCAATAAACTTACGGGTGTAAAATTCTACTCGCGATTTCTTTGCGTTCCTCATTGTTACAATTATTTTTCGAACGTGGAAATTACTTTTTTCGTCTGGAAAATTCCACCATTTCAAACGACTCAATTAATTTACGTAGAAACACAACTACATTTATTGACTGTATAAATTAACAGATTCAAAAAATGATCCTCTGAACAAAAAAGAAATGTGTTTGAATTCCTTCAAAGTCACCCACTTTCTTAAGAGAAGAATAAATACGAGAGACTCGGTATCTTTACAATGGACAGAAATATTCGTGAAAAAATTTTGCAAAAGAAAATGCAGGTGCGTGTGAAATGCCCCGCGTGGAATCAAGGAAGAAGGAGCTGGCAATTATTTCGCAATGTTGCACAACGATCGTGCAATTCGACTAGCGTTCTGCCATTCAGATCGGTTGAAGGAAGAAAACTCGAATCGCCATTGCTCGCGTTCTCGACCCGATCCTACTTTTATTCATGCATGTTTAAACAAGACGTCGTGCTGGCCTGTGGCTCCAAGGTTTTGCACGTGTATACATCCGCAATACGTCCACGCAAATTATACACCGTGAGTCACGTGAAGTCCAACATGTTCCGATGCATGCTTTCCGACGCACCAACAACACGTGCTCATGAATTAAATCCCGCGGTTACCTCGCCCTTCGTTCCAGGCTCCAGTTACGCGACTTTTCGAAATCCCAGCTCACGGCTCCTGGTTTCGGTCAGTTGTTTTGGCTACGTCGAATCCTTCTGCGTCGTAAAAAACAACGAACGAGCCCTGACGACGCGTCGCGAACTTTTATTCCAGCATTTTGCGTTTCCACGAGATATTAGTGGATTCCGTTCATCGATTTTATCAATAGACAGGATGTTCCTAAAAATAGGTATCCAATACAGACACGTATCTGTCCTACTATCCTACTTGGACGATGGGAAAATGTAAATGTGTGTCTGATTTCTTAAAGAATGTCGTTTAATGATAAAGATTACTTATACGTGTTTCAATGTTCTACAATAAAAGATTCAACTCGTCTACGATCATACCAGATGTGGTATAAAATAATAATTTCAATGTTGTCCATCATTCGTTGAACAAAAATCAAAATCCCAATTATGGGATGAAATATTCCGCGATGAATAAACAAAAATTTTACTGGATCGAATAATCGTCGTGAGTAAATTGTTGCAAGTTGATATTATTGGTTACCTATTATTCGAATAAAATTTTGAATGATAAAATCGTCCCTGTATCGTACGTTCTCAGTGTCGCCGGACATTAGCGCAACATAATAACATATTGTCAAAAACGTATCATTGTTTGCCCTGCCAAATAATTATGCAAACGGCGAAGCGTGTACACAGAGAACAATGTCATTTTATTGTAATGTGTACATTGAATTTTTCAATTACTTATTATAATAACACGTCATTGACTACGACAATAGCACACACACCCACAGTGAGTCACGTGAGTATTCGTATTTCTTCTACCGGGGACTTCGAACGACTGACCCCTTTTTAGAATAAATTTTATACATTAATTAAAATTTCAAGTGATATAAATTATTTTGAGATATAAAAATTGGATACTCGTTAAATAGGAATTTACTAATATTTAAATTTCGTTTTGAATGAATTGTGTTTTCAATAGAAATAGTCTTCGATTTTAAGTTTCAATTTCTAGGGAACGATCAATGACTCCCAAAATTCAGTGCTTTCAGATATTCATGCTCAGTGGAAAATAGATATTTGTCGATCTTGTCTCACTCATAATCATGCAAGTTTCGTCCACGTTGCCTAATGAAAAATAAACTCGATTTAGAAAGGGAGTCCCAAGAGAAAACGTGCTCATCAAATATACTTGGAGTCAAGATGGTATCATTTAAGTATCCTTTCACGATGATTCGTATGATAAGAGACCTTTGGCCAGCCCCCCAGAGGCTTTCAAGCTTCTTCTATGTTTCACTCTGTAAAACGAATCTAAATATACTCATTCGTGCAACAAAATATCCACTTCTATTCATCTCTGAGGATTACCCTAGAAACATGGGTTAGAAAACATGTAAGTGATTTTTGAATCAAGTTGTTACACTTGTCGTAGAGTCAAAATTTACTCAACTGATTTTTAAACAGGACATTGCACTCCTATGCAACGAGGTTAAGTACTGAACAATTATAAAAGAAATTTAGTCGTAACTAAAACGATTAGAGGAAATAGACCAATTTAAAATATCAGTTATAGGAGGTGAGTTTAATAACTGGGCCATGCTATAGCTCTGCACTAAGTGCAGACACCAATCATAAAGGACAATTTTACATGGTTTAATAGCCTCTATAATCCTATAATACAACTTACTGACACTTTTACGCGAATCGATCCCCATAGGTCATTCCGCGTGTAAAAGGTGTGGTAATGTCATCAACAATTCAACACTTTTAATGATATTTCTGCTGGGTAAAAGCATTTCGTACGATACGCGAACACTTAAAATGAATTTTTTAAAAAAGTTCTAGTCAGAAACGGCTTAAACGCGATAGCTGGCGATTGAAACAGTGTCAAAGAGTGGAAGTGTGCTATTTTGGAGTTCGTAATGTTAGCTGTTGGTGACAGTCGATCAAGTTTGCCGCAGAATGGCGAATGAGGCGTGACTCCGTGGCAGAGGGCATAGGAGACCGCGACGACCCTTTTTTCGCAAAATTACGCGCCAGTGACACAATCGTACGTAAGTGGCTACGACACGGTCATACGGTAAACCTGGCTCTAACAAAGCCAGCAGACCGCCTGCGCAACTTGCACATACGACGTAGGCTCGGTGTGTCGTGCATGGCGTTCCAGTTTGACTTGTGCCGCTGCACCGTGTGGAACTGTGCGGTTCATGCTCGATTTCTCATCGTTCGGGGACCAACAACGTGATTGAACACCTTTCGTTGCTTAAATTCGTCGATAAGTTTTCACGTACGCGTGCTCGTGGATCGCCATAATTCGGGAACTTGTCGAACAAGTGTCGGTAAAACACGGTTTCTCGAAACGATTCAGCGAACACGTGTGCAGGAAGGATCCTTTTTGGCATCCTTTGCCGCGAGCTGCACGTAGAACGGGACTCACGCGTGCGTATTGGAAGAAGGTGTGTACTAAATGATACTAAAAATTTAGCAAACGTGCCTCGACACAGAGTATCTCATTCTGGTTTTTTTATCTTGAAAACTTTCGTTTGGTCTAAACGTCAAATCTGTAATATCTGACTACGTTCTGAAAGTCGACTAACACTGATTTTAATAAATTTTCTGACGAACATTTAAATACTATTTTTGCTCACTTTTATGATCGCGTTTTGAAACCTTCAGTGTAGCGTTTTGCAGGATTGAAGGTGAGCGCGTAAATTGTTCGCGACAAGAAGAACGGAATTAAAAAAGCTAGGTGCATAGTGCAGTATTTATTCAGTCACGTCTGATTGCATAATATGTACAAGTTACGAATGTTAAGAATGCTGAGTCTATCAGAAAATATCTGCCTGTGCGTTGCATAATATCGATAAAAACATTTTCTACGAATAATACAATATTTTATATAAAGTTCTAATTCTATTGTTTTCGAATATACATGCATTTCTGACAGCAAAAATTTTTAAAGAATTAACAAAATTTCAGTAATTAATAGTGGGTGATAGAACTTATCGTAATAAATGCCCAAAGATTCTGGAATTAATTAATAATTTAATAAAGTATTGAATCTACCAAGTAATAAATAAATATATGAAACGAGCTTGCATGAAAAATGAAACGTTGTAGGTATATTTGTGCACTGAAATCACTTTTTGTCAGCGCTTGTCCCCAGTTCATGGGGTTACGTACAACCTGCCTACGTTCATTCTGATGATTATCGCGTTACTTGCTACCAACTAGGGTCGATGTGCTCGATGAGAGAGGACTAACACCAAAAGGCGGGAAAACTCGATCGCGAGCAAAGGGCGAGCCCGAAATTTTTCAAACTGGGTGACGGAAAAGGAAAACACCGAAGAGTCAGAATGGCAGACGACAATCCGCAAGATCAACGCGCCCCCAAGAAGCGTAAAATCATAACGCATTTGCCGTTTCTCATAAAAATTGTAGAAGTTGTGAGTAATCTCCGTCGTTAAAATACTTTACGATCGAGCTTCTCGAGTTACTATAATTCCTGTTTTCAATTTTCACAGGTTTTGGCTGTGTTTGCGATCGGACTGATAGTCGATCCGCTCAACTCTTTCCAACAAATCTTGACCAGAACGAGGTTCAAGCTCGACCATGCCGCGATAATCTACATCACCATCGCCGGTTACACTATAATCAACACGCTTTTCATCATTTGTCATTTCCTCGGAGACAACATACCGAAACGAACGGTGAGTCATAAAAAATTTAAATCATCGTGTAATTTAGAAAAGGAAATTTGACGGAAAGAGTACTTATAGCGCGTGGAAAACGGAGGAAAACTTGTATTTTTATAGAAGGTTTCAGCCACAGTCTTAGAGTTACAATCCAGATTAAGTGGCGTGTCTGGTGATAATAAATTGACAAAGTGACACGGTCGAGGGATCGCGTGACGATCACGAAAGGAGTAGTATCGCGTTAAATTCGCATTCCACATTCAATATTTTGGGCATACATCCACCGTCAAGACTAAAATTTCCTGTATTTCGCTAGTTTCGATCAAGAGCCTAGTCCATTTGTACAGCTGAGACGTCGCAGATACCACGCACTCGATAATTAACAGATGCGTCATGTCCTTCGTACGTGCACCCATACATCCATCGCTTTCACGTTTCTACGCGATTATTTGATTATACTAGTGATTCTCAATAATTATACATGATAGGAGTGCTTGTGTTCGAAGTCAGAAGCTCAGAATTCTGAATAGCTGGACTTTGAAACGCTTTCAAACACTGTAGACGATACCACTCTTGGGGACCGTGTTCAAATATTTTGGCTCCTAAAACAACAATGGAAACAACGTCTTGTCAATTTATTTCTATTGACAGCTACATTATCGCATGACCTGTTAGCTAATTAATCTTCAACTTCAAACATTGTCCAACTACTCGGCGATAAATTTCTATGCTTCGACGTGTTTACAAATATTTGTCTTATAAAGTGATCTACGTTCGGAAAAAATGATCACGAATGAGCTCATTGGGTATTCAAGGTTGCTAAACGAAGGTTTACCTGTTTTTTTATTGCTAAATAACTGTATCGATCCAACTATCGATATTGAAAATATAATCTAGTACACCATAATTCGAATAACATGACATTATGAAATAGTGGAGAGTAATTTTCACTAGGAAACTAGTTAAGGTTGCAGATTGTGCTCCAGAATGTTGATATTACAATTAACTATAATGAGATTTGATGATCCATATTCTTTCTTTAATTTTTCAAATATTCTCCCCATATTTCTTGTAGAATTTTATAACTTTATATAAAAAATATTTGTAATCTGATAAATTGTTATCGTAAACTTAATAGCAATCATTATCATAAAATTTATAGCACTACGTTTAAAAAATGTTGTGCAACGCGTCGCAACGGGTATGGTCAAACAAAACGTTGAAAGTATAGACGCCTGTTCCGTTCTAGTTTGATTAAAATTTACTACTTCCAAGTTCCCATACGTCGTATTTTATCAACCACCTACTTTCGCGACGTTTATGCGTGCTTAGCGATCGGAACTCGTAATATCGGGGACTCGTTACTTCGGAGAATAGTGATAGTTATTATCGTTCATGCCACACCGGTACGATAACGCGTAAAATAATTAGAGACTTCGTCGCAAAAGTGAATGACACCGTGGTCTCCTTTAAACGGAGTAAAGAATTGTTTAAGACCAAGATGTGAACGATCGATATTACCTACGTTGGCTATATCCAACAGAGGATAATTCAGTGAATAATTTTTTTTATATGAAAGAAATGGCATAGACGAAACGTTAAAGTTCATCGAGAATTATGGGGAAAATATATTAAAAATTTCCTCGCATATCGATATTTAAAAGAAACAAACTTTTCATGGGAAAGGAAACATCGTTGTTTTCAGAAGAAATTTAAAAAAAATAAGATGATACTTTTCATTTGGATGGAACTCAGATTCAGTGATCAAAATTTTTGATACAGGCTAATTCTAGTAATTAATAACATTACTATCACGGAAGTACATCAGATAGAGACATTCTTCGTAGCTTCTTGCAACAATTTCGTTGATTTTCTGGAACTGAATAAACACAAAATGTATAAATTAATTGGTTTATATTCCACGGTTAGCTTTTCCTTCGCGCTGCGAAATTAAATTAAAATAAAGAATGCACTCTGAAGCAACATTGATCTGCTCTGATTCCAGCTGATACTGTTCTCCTCGCTTGGCGCGCTTCTACACATCGTCGCTGGAACCGTAATTGTCTATGATTGGAGGAAGATCGTCGACCCTTATTACAGCAACAACGAATTTTATCCGAGTAAACAGTACATGGACATGTTCATATCGGGCGCGGTGTTCACATTCGTGGACGCGGTGGTTTTTATCGTAGAAGTTGGTCTCATTATAAGGTATTCAACGAAGAGCTCGGAGTGAAAAGGAAAAAAGACCATTAGAAAGACAAAAATAAATCAGTAATTAACTTCATAGGGAATCATGTACGAAATAGTGATCAGTATAAATTTGGAATAATAGATTACAAACTATCAATCGATAATGTCATGAGTGACAATTAGTCAGTAATGTGTTAATACGATATAACTAATCTTTACAACTATGAAGAAGAAACAATGAAAAAACTGACGTTTAGAGACTTTTCAGAGATTAAAGATACGATAAAGAAATAAAACGGAAAAGATTTCCACCTAATGTGTTCCAGATCATGCGTTAGAATTCTTGGGGAAAATCTAATTCGACTAGTTCTACGAAGTAATTTCCCCACAATAATGTAACAATCATCGTGTAATTACTTTATAGAAATAATCGTGACGAACTGCATAGTCGGATTACATATTACCCAACACCACAGAACGATTTTCTAAAATTTAACTAAGCACGAAGTAACTATGAAACGACCCGCCGTCCACAATTTGTTTAAGCAAAAATCTGTGTACAATTGAAGATTAATTCTTAAGCCAAATATTCGCCGCCCAATTTTAATAGACTATTAGCACTTACGTAGGAGATACGTTATTTTATTGACACGTAACGAATTAAGAGAAGCATTTGTGTTAGCATTTTTAGAAAATGTACAAATTAAATAATATATTGAATTACATTGTAGAGTATTAGATTCTGCAAACTGTTGCTTGGTAAGTTCTAGCAATCTTTCGATTTATTTCCATTCTCGTATGCAATACGTTCTCAATAACTTTAACGATTTAGCGTAAGAATATTATTAAAACTAACACCCAAAGATCTTTTCAACATGTCTTGCGTTTTAAGGATGCAAGGAGATCCACCGAACTATATGAATTTTTACTAACATCATGCTATAATCCAAAGCTCGAACGATTATACAATTAGTATTTTAAGTACCATTACATTTATAATTAAATACTTTAATACTACTAGTAATATCTTTAATGTATTATACGTTCTACGCGTATTACATAATTCAATCTCAGAATTGCCATGAATATTCCTAATTAAAATAACGGTTGTACTTTTTCTTACTACTAATCGTAGCTATAAAAAAAAGAGACCAAAAATTACCATTCACGATCGATCACACGCTTATCGATTCAGATATATGCCGCTTTATCAAAACAATTCCGTCCAATATAATATTAGGACTACAATTGATGTATGTTAAAAGAAATTATTTTAACGAATATATTTAAATATAGGATAAACATAGAAAAATGTATAAAGAAAAATTGAATTTAATTAAGTACTTGACATATAATACATGTACGAAGCAAATTGTGGAAAAATAAACAGATTTTATTATTTTATAAACCTAATAAAAATAAACTGTTGGCATTGTGCAACATTTAATTGCAAAATCCACAAATTATTTTATTTACGAGGTCAGCTCCTTAAAAATTGTTTTAGATAATAGCATAATAGGTTAACTTACTTATTTCGTTCTTGATTCTAACAAAGTATTCTCTGAACGTCGATCAGTATTTGAAGATTTATCGACAACCGATGTATCCAATTTAAAAACAAAAAACCTGGACGACACTTCAAGTCTCTATGAATTATTTAGAGGTTCGACCGATGATATAAAACGGATAAAAACAATCATCTGCGAAAGCAAGTAAACCATGACATGCGAAGGTTAACGAACTCAGAAAATATCTTTTGCCTTCTTTTCCCGCTATCGTGAGATAAAAAAAAAAAAATTACAATTCCCGTACGCTGCAGGTACAAGCAACTGGCTTCAAAGTTTAAATCCTTTTAAAGAAAAATCGGACGACCGTCGAGGATTTACAGCTTGCGTTAAATTGGTCATTAGACCGCTGAGAATATTCCAGTTCGCAAGTATCGATCATTAAAATGCATAGATCGTTGCTACACGCCGCTGACGTTACCTTGCTTGTACAACACACATTCTATCAGCGTTGATCGAATCGAAACTGATAACATATTTTCTGTGATTGATCCAGCTAGTGGTACTGTTGATCTTCGTCCTCGTAATTTACACTATCGCTGCTGGGGACACGAACGTATCGTCTGCGACATGCATTTTACTTATCGTCCTTTCTGGGATCTACGTTTTCATTCTGGCGATCGACTTGATCAGCCAATTCAGTGGTGGAGAATTGCACTCGTTTCCGGTAATTCGCATAAAAACGTTTCCCTTAAAAAATTCTAGATTTTAAGATCTCACGAATTTCACGAATCCAAAAATCAGGTTTTAAAAAATCTTTATTGCAGATGTTTCTCTTCTCCCTTTTGGGAGTAATATTCTTCGGAGTTGCTGGAATTTTATTAATATCTGTTTATAATGCTACTATGCTTTGGTATATTTTGACAATACTGTGCCTCAGTCTTCTAATGTCCGCCATCCTTCTAATCGAAGTTGCAATGATACTCGCGTAAGCCTCAAATTATTGCAGTCTAGTTCCAATGTTTATGTCGTTTAAGCATCACGTGTTCTATTATAGATTTTGGAAACGAAACTGCAATCTTTGCAAGCAGTGTTGTTACACGAATCAAGCCGAAATACTGTTCCAGAAAAACATTTGTCATCCTCTGTGTACCGTAAGTAGACCCATCAGTGATAAAAATAATAAAAAACACGAGATTATTATTATACTTGACGTTTTCTTTATAAAATTCTACCAATAATCCATCATTTTAGAAATGAATAAAATAAAAAATTATATCTGCAGTAAAATAGATAAATATTATAATAGAGAAATTCAACGATAATACTATGATGTTAATGTAACTTGTACAAAGTAATTTATGTTCCTGGAGTACCAACGTCTCTTTTAAGGTGTCTCTCTGCAATCTAGACGGTCAAATACGACTTGACGACCAGCGTCAGCAGCCTCAGAATACCATCGGGGGATGAAAAGGGGATTCCTGATCACGCTTATCGAAAAGTCGGTTACGGACGTAGACGACAGTACGTCGATTGTCCGACGAGTGCTAAATCAGTGTCCAAATTAGACAGTGCTGAATGTCAAACAGACCGTCATGCAACGTTCCACACAGAGAGTCAAGTGAGTCACGATTACAAAATTCGAGCAAAGTTGATAGTTGGGGGGTAGAAGACAGAGCGCGTCTTGCTGTCAAGATTATTGTTTTTCTTCGTGTCGAATTGGGTAACTTTGTTAATTAGAAGAAATTTCTCAGACACAACGAAGCATGAAGGAGATGCCGGTGCAAACGGTGAGCAAATGCGACCTGTGCAATCGACAATTGCAAATTTTTTCGACGGCCGCGGACATGCAAGCGATAACGCAATCAGCACCGTGCTCACCCTGTCCAGCCCTTGTACAGCTCATTCGAGGAGTACCGTGTTGTCCAGGGTTAGTATCCTACTCTAAACATTCCGTGTCATGCTAAAATAATTTTACAATAAACGAATTCCATGTTCTATACAATCGTTGGCTATAAATAGGAATTAGAAAGACGTAGTAGCTACGTGTGATCTCAAATATTAATATTGATGATTTTTATCTACAAGAAATTTGTATCCAACTCTGCTGGAGCTGCAGCAGGTAGTAATGATTCATCGTACGATAAATTTTACATACATCCTTCGTGCAACTGTTTAGACCATAATTCTAACGGGGGTCACGCATGAAATGATTTATCGTATGATTAGTCATACGTCTCCGTACAGCAGAAACGTATTGCTATTCAATACGGTTGTCTTACGACAGGTTATATAACTCCACTTTGTTTATAATTGTCGTTCGATGATATTGACAATTATTTCCCCGCCACTTAGATGCGAAACCACTCCCTCCACTGCATTTTGATGCAGTTATCGTGTAGTGTTCCGTACAGGAATTTTGATCACACGAGCGTGGAAAGAAGAATATAGAAATTGATAGGAATATGCCTAATAAGTTCATGAAAGTTGATTTTAGAACGAATATTAAAACTGACTTACCTGACTATAAATCATTGTTTGCACCCGACGTAAAGAAAATAATAATCGTTCCTCGAGGTGTGTTTCGAAGTATTTCTTAAAAAATGCAAAATAGTTTTATGCTCGAAAGAAAAATTCTTGCATAGTCTACGTAAAGAGGCCTTATTTCCGGGACGTTTTTCTAATCGAGTTCATGATTTTAATCTCGTGTAAAAAAAATAGTTGCAGGTGCGTCGCGGGTATAGTGCAAGTACCGCAGCAAAGCGAGCAGCAACAAACGCAGCGACAGGATCAAGAGAAAAAACTGACCAAGGATCAAATGCAATGGGTGCAACCGGACCAAAAATCCTACGGAATGTTGACGAGTGAGAAAGCTCCAGTCCATCAGGTTGCGAGTACAGGCGATAACTTGAAAAGAAATTGACTTTATTTGGACCTAATTAACGACCGGTGTAACGTATTTACCGCATTTCCCTACAACCGCAGTGAACCTTCAACATTATAAGACAACCATTACCAATGTGACAAATATACGATTGAAAAGTTGCAAAATGATTATTTCTTTAACGCGAGAAAATACCAGAATTCACCGAAACGCGGTTAAAATCTCGAACAAATCGTTGATTCCCTCACACTTTTATCGAACCATTTATCCGCCAAGATCTCACGTTCCGACGTTCGCCTTTTTAAAGGTGGACAACACGAGGACCCGAAAATAGCGGGAATGGCGGGAACCATCACTAAACTTACGCTTGCATCCTACTCCGTCGCGCCGAGCAAGAAAACCAACACGTCGAGTCAAACAGCTACCGACGAAGTCAACATCACGTAAGATATCTTTCTGTAGAACGTGTCCATTGAAAAGTGATTCTAATTCTCGTAACGTGTTGGCAAAAGCACCCCCGACTCTACCGGAGGGAAGAAAGTGAGGCTGAGTACGCTTCAAAAGGAAAAACCGCGAGGAAAGAGGCCCGCCAAAAACCCCAACGAAATGCTGATACCGGAAAAAGAAAAAGCAGAAACGACGAACGACGTTGAAAAAGGGTCGACTAAACTTCCGTCGAAGAAACCGACGAACCCTTCTGCGCAAAAATCAGTTAACCCCTCGACAAAGAAAGCAGCAGACTCTCAAAACATCGTGGAATCTACCGTAACAGATTCAGCGCCTGTTCACGAAAACCCTGAAATTCCTTCTCCGGTGCAGCAAATTGCTCAAGTAATAAATCGCCTGGAAGCGATCGAAAGCAGTAAAACGGATAACAAACTGCTGGAAACGAATGATATATCAACACCCACGGTTGATGAAACGGATAAAAATGGAGTGGATGAGAAGTCTGAGGCTCTTCCTAAAATAAACGCGAAGAATGTGAGAATGGAAAGTGACGTTGACGATGCAACTGTCAACGAAATCACTTTTAAGAGTATTAAGAGTGACAAAGCCGACGAATCGATAAGAAAGCAAGATGATAGCACGAGGGTGGAACGAGGAACTCTGCCCGTGGCTAAACCTGACACAAGAACGCAAACGTAAGACATTATTTATGGCAGACATTGCTTTTTTATTTCTTATAAAGTGATGAAGTGGGTCACCCTGTAGAATAAAAGTTTATTCATTTCTCTGTGAATCTCGACATGAATCAAATAATGCTTCAAATAGGGGTAGTCAAGCCCCTCAAATTTAACTTCTTCACTTTATTAAGAGAAATTGAAATTTTTTCGACTTTAATATATTTTTTTTACTTCACGATTTTTATTTAATTAAAATAAAAGCATTGCATGCTTCATTTAGCATATTTGAGTGTCTTTGAAATCTTGAATCACTATTTTTCAAGGTACAATAACATGTGTGCCTCTAATCTCGTTTGACGTATCGTAAGTCATCGATATGAATTGAGAAGTGTATAAATGTTGCAATTAACGAACTTAAATTTCCGTTTATATAAAATCATGTACAACGACTGTTTTAAAATAATATATAATCTTTTAGAACTGACATAGACGTTTCCTTGATCAAACCTAAAAGAACTCGCCTCCTACGAAAGAAAAACAAAGTTGAGCCTGCCGAATTAACGTAAGCAAACGACACATTGATCTAAATTTTCGGCCAGAATGGACTAATTATATTTGATAATAAAAATAAGTAATCTATGGAAATCAAAACGTGAATATTTAGACACGCTGAGACGGACATTCAAACTTCGTATTCTGACGATTTAGATGTTTTATCTATCGGTAAACAAGAATCTGAGGTAATTTTAAATAAACAATAATAACATAAAAGCATACTTCTTTCGTTTCGTGATCGAAAAGCCCACACGTACATAACGCTGACCATTTTAATATAAATAATACAGTTCAATAAAATATTTTATAGAGATTGTTTGTAGGAGAAAAGCAAGCCTTAGGAATCGAAAAAGACACAAATATTTGTCGAGCTTGCAGAAGACTACAGGTAAATCCTACTGTTTTGTTGCATATAAATTATGGATTTGAAAATGATTAATATTTTTAGACTTACCCAACGTCGAACTCCTTCCGATACTACAGTGTCTACAGAGACAAACGAGGAAGGGTGTACTGTGAACTTTGTGCCACCGCGAACACAATTAAAGTACGATGCACGATAAATAGATGTTTCACGCGTGATATCATTTGTTTATTTAATTTAGGTATTGTATAAAGACGACGGGAGCGAGCAGAAGCGTTTGAGATGCGTAGTGTGCAAGAACGTTGTACGCGCAAAAAGCAGCCAGGAAGAAACAACCGTAAAAAAAATTTAATTTAAAATATTTGAATATCATAAGTTCTCGATTATTTAAGAATCTATTTTCAGGGTTTTCGGAGCAAGACTGACAACTGTCCCAAATGTGGTCAAGTACAAACACGCGTGCATTCAACCCTAGTAAATCCATCCAAAGTATAGTTATAGACCGAGCATGGAACCGATATAAGGAAAATTAGTATTAACAAAATATGCACAGGTAGCATTAGCGTGTACGTATTAAGTTACTTTAAAATTATGTACATTTTGAAAAGTAATTCTATTCTGCTAAGAAAATGATTTAACACTAAACCTACCGGCACTTTATGTATACCCATTCCTACCATGACCGGTCAAATGAGTATTTTTGCATTATATGTATAGAAAGTTGTGTTCAATTAAATAAACAATTTATGATCGAGTGTTATCATACACTAGTCGTGTGATCAGTAGGAATTGCTGAAACTTCTTTGGGTATGTAGCGTCAAAGTAAATGTGAGAATAAATATAGAAGATAGCAAAAATTATGGTAGATGATATGATCATTAAATAGAGGATGAAATTACCTTTGAAATGAGCGTTTGTGCGAGTCGATAGCTTTATTAGTTCCGGAGATATAGCGATTTTAATTTCAAGTCGATGCGGTGGCTAGTTTCGGAGATATAAGGGTCCGAAGAGTTTGTTTACGTTCATTGAGATCAATGGACTCGCGCGCGCGAAAATAGTAAACAGTGCGTAGTAAATTCTTGGAAATACTACGAAACTAGGTCACGACAGTCACGACTCACGTGCGACAAAGAGGTCCGGCGCGACGCGTCAGACGGAGACAGCGATAGTCGAATTAAAAAAATTACCCCTTTACATAAATTACGATATCTCGAAAACGGAAAGTCGGATCGTCAAAAACCAAAAACCATTTTAAAGGGGAGGCTTCACCGCTGCCAACGATTGCTCAAAAATTGATAAAACACTAGTAGCTTCGGAACTGTATGCGTCTAAAGTTTAACTATTTTTAATACGCTTTAATAGCCTTTTCTGAGACAGGAAGCAAGAGACAGCGAAATTTAAAAAACTACATTTTACATAAATTACGATATCTCGAAAACGGAAAGTCGGATCGTCAAAAACCAAAAACTATTTTAAAGGGGAGGCTTCACCGCTGCCAACAGTGGCTCAAAAATTGATAAAACACTAGTAGCTTCGGAACTGCATGCGTCTAAATTTTAACTATTTTTAATACGCGGTTTTGGTACTAAATTTTATCCAGTTTTTTTACAAAGGAATATGAATCATTCAACCGGTCAAATGGCCGGTCGTGGTAGGTTTAGTGTTAATTGTAGGAGAGGTGGGAACAATTACATCGTAATTTTAATATAGTTTTATGATATCGTATAACAATTATCGTATTATAAAGATACTAACTAATATGGATATTTCATTGATTACATTAAGCTATAAATCCTTACATGAAAAAATTAATACGTAACCTGCTCGACTTGCGTCGAGCGTTTCAAATCATTATTTGTTCCCTGAAATAAAAATGCCAGATCGGTAATCGCAAAAACAATAGACTTTAAAAATGTTACATGCTCAGATATTGTAATATATCATGTAAAATAGCGTTATTTTTTTATTAATGTTGTCATCGGCGTTTGTAATAAATTGTAACTTCATTCAAGCATCAGTATTCTCTTTGGCCAGACGTTTATACTTCTGTTACGAATATTATACATTATTTAATCAGTAAAATAAATTTGATAATTTTTGAGATTCAGAAAAAGGAACCTAAAAACGACCTTACAAGTACGATTAGAAAATAAAATTATACAAAGATCAATCCACTAACGAATTCCTACGATTATAATAATAAGAAGTAACGATTACCTAATTGTCAATTACCATTAATACACATTATTAGTAAGTTTGTATCATCCCATAAAGCTACGATTATTAATTATTAGAAACTTTGGTTCATATAACACAGAAAAAAATTGTTCATTATAGTATTTTTACTGCAAATATGGGCAAATTTAATTCACGAACAAGTGCAAATGTCCAATTCATTCGTAAAATAAAATCCACAAAAATTTCCAAATGAATCTAAGTCTTATTCGTTGTTCGTGAATAAAGTTTGTCCCATGCTTGATATAAATGCTTAGAAATTAATAATATATATATACTCGAAGACTGCCACAAGATTCCTAGCACTGATTGTGGAAAAAAAAGATCCATTACGAAACGTCTTCACCTTTCCAATACTGATTAGCAAAATCTCTTGTAACCATTCAACGTCGCGAACTATGCGATCACCATGCAATCTCAATAATAATCATAACTTAATTTCTTGACCAGAAACTTTTTCTCGATGCTCCTATCGACTTGTTTACAAAGATAAGTATAGCCTCGCCTAGGAGGTCGCGATATTTCCGTTAAACATTAGCATGACTTCAACGAACGTTCAATTATCCTTCCCGAGCTCTATCTTGCGTAATGGCACTCGGTATATAGAGCACTCTGATCAATAACTGACTCTGACATTAGCATTACCGCATTTCAAAATTGGCCTCATGTTGCACTTGGCGTTGCCATAAGCGTTCTCCTCGTATTGTTGCTGATTCTGCGTTAAGATCGCGGTTTCTGGATTCATCGCGGGCTTCGCGAAATTCTTCTGAGCAAATACATCGTTGGAGCCTACCATTGAACGATTGAAACGCGACCAATCGTTGATTCTATCCTTGTAGCACGATTCTTGCGCGTTCTGTGATCTGTTCACAGTCTGATTGTTGCTCCAACTGTTTAAATCGCTCGGGATCCAGTTGTAATATGGATTGGGCGACGATTGAACGACGCACCAACCGATTTTCTGGTCCACGACACCCGGCTTCACGTTGTTCGATAAAAATTGCGGGTAATGCTCGTAATTAAATCCCTGACGTAATATCGGTCGAACGTTTTGAACGTTGAATTGCCCCGGAGTCTGACCAAGAAACTGAACGTTCTGTTCCCGGCTGTTAAACGCGACATTTTGATAATAATTCACGTACGGTGGCCAATTCGTCGAATTCGCGGTGTCCACGGTTTGGGGATTAGGAAACACAGGTACGTTGACGTTGCTTCCAACTGGAATTTGTTGCTGGACGCAATAAGCGTCCCTTTGATTGTAGCTGTTGCAATTTGCATCGTTGTTTATACCAGCGATGCTCAAAGATCCGGAAAACCTTGATCCCAGATCGTCCAGCGTGTTCAAACCGTCGCGATTCATAGAGGAAAAATCGTTCGCGAACAAACCGTCGAAATTCGAGCTACTTTTACCGTGCAGTCGACATTTCAACGGGCAATTTATTACGTATTTGTCGAACATATTATGAGAGTTTGGCGGATCGGTCGTGCAAATTTGAACCCCGTCTTGATTCCTGAATTTCTCGTCGTAGAAACCCTTCTGGTGTTTCCCTCTGTTCAAGTATGCGCTGAACGGCGGAAGGATCGCGCTCTTCTCGAAGTTTTCGTAGAACAAAGAATGATCCACGCTGTTTCTCAAGTTCCCGTTAATGTCCCAAGTGTGTTCAAAGTTTTTATCCGCTTGAACGAATGGACATTGGGGATACACCAGGCTGTTCGACTGGCATTTTTCGAGCGTACAGTGATTCGATGGATGATCGAGACTTCTTGGTAAATTTTCTAATACAGATTTCGCAAATTTGCCGATTTTAATATTCGGATCGAACGTTTTAATTTCTCGCGTATTGTTCGCCACGTTCGATCGCTTGTTTATTGTCTCGTTCAACTTCGATCGAATTACGGGTCTCTTCTGTTTCACTTGATGGATCATGGTCTTCGTTATTGTTACGTTACCTTGTCTGTCGCAGGTTCCGCTTTCTTCCAACTACGATTTGTTAAACGGAAGCATTGTGTTTTATATTTTTAATTTCACAGTTTAGGAACGGACGAAAAGATGTTTAGCGTTTGCAAAATTTATCGATATCACCAGTGCTTAATTTTTTGGTTGGGTTTGCCTCTTCGGGGGCGAGCTATTTTGTTCGAAATAAACAAAAATTCAAATCTTCGATATTAGTCAATATGTATTCATCGGCCAGTATCATTAGCCAGAATCATTTCCAACGCTATATCGTTCGGAAAAATAGTTTGTAAAAATAATCTGAAGTCGTTGTTAGCTATAAATAAATAAAACATTAAAATTTGAATTTTTTTGAAATTATTACTATTATCGCTTTATCTCTAAAAAATACATTTTAAAATTAATATTTTCTATGTGAAATTTCCGTCCATTAATGTTTTACATGTTAACTTATTTTTAAGAGTTTCACGCTAACTTTTTTGTGCAATATGATGAACTTGCGATAACCCCAAATAAGATTTTGAAATTTTCCTAACAAAAACAGTATGCAGTAATCAGTTTCAAAATGTGTCTTTGAAATCTAACCTAAGCCACGAATATTACCATTACTAATTTTACTAAATCTTAAATCATTATTAGTAACAAACAAATCAAACTTTAAGTGAATTTTTGCTATTAATCTAAATAAATACCTCCAAATTTCGCTATGTATTAAAATCAAATTCAAAATTCATGCATAATAACACCTTATTCTGACAGTAATCTATAATTGTTATCATTCAGTGACACAATACAAACAAATGCTCGAAATAAGTAAATAAGCAAAACAAACTGCACAATAGCATGTATATCGTGCACGAAATATAAATAACAAAAAACAATAGAAATCGACTGTTTTACTAAGTTTTAATGCGTAAAGAATTTAATCAAGGCTCGAGTATTAAACAATTACGAACCATCTCTGCTTTAGCCAAGTAAACCCAGAGTTTTCGCCACGTGCTGAACTTGTGTTGATCACTGAAGTTGTATCGCATTTCCTTCGAGGCGTACCTGGTCGCCAGAGGACTACGATAATCACAATATTCACTCTTTTCTACCTTCGAAGAACTCATTTTTGCTAGATATCAGGCTAATCTGTGCACAGAACGATATTTGGAACAGTCTTCGTTTAATACGACGCACAGAAAATTTCACAGTCAGCTGATCGACTCGACGCACCAGAAGCTGCGCAGTGACTAGAGCAGAAGATCGACTCTGACGCTCGCAGTGACGCTCGTCGGCGATATATCGAACTATTTCATTCAAACCGCGTTACTACGTCCGCGCAGGGAACATTATTTATTTAAAACGCAATTTTTACTTTTAAGGAAAACAGCATTGAGTGAATTGTTCCGAAATACTCACAACGTGAGTAGAATATATTAATTATTTATGGTCCGACACGTTTTCTTCAGGCAAAATGAATTAAAACGTGAGAACATAACTGTAACAAATATTCATCTATTCCTGAATGATTAAATTGGGACTAAACTTAGTCTATTATTATTTAATTTTGAAAAACTTCAAATTACTAATGATAGTTCCACGTTGTGTCGAATTATGTCAATAAAATATTTCTCGAACCCTGAACCATTGACTAATAAAAATTCATTTCAACGAATTGTTTCAATTAAAAACTGTGCGATTTAATTTTGCCCTTTTCTTGTAAATACAAAATGTGATAGTTTCTGTTTAGGATTTAGCAATATGCAAATCACAAGAATGCCGATATTTTGCAAAGTGGTTCGCGTTTGAACTTCGCGTACAAGGCTTTCTGCATTCTTGCAAATCGTAATGCCATTTGCAGGGACAAGTCAACTGGGGAAAGTACCCACGTTCCATTTTCACGTGGGATCATAAATGACCGATGTCATTGTTCTTTAAACACGAAAGGAAAACCATAGATTGCCACTGGTGCCTATTTGCAAACACTAACTTCCCTTCGTCAGACTTCTGTCATTGTTCCAATACCAATAATCGACACAAATCGATACTGCTTTAAACAATCACCATTTTCATAATATTCTAAATATTCTTTCCATAAAATATCAGAAAAATTAAATACTTAAAGAAAGAAAAAAATACAGATTCTACCACAGTTTCTAAAAATAAAAGTAAATTGTTTCTATCGATTCACGATACCTACCACGTTGGAAGGAGTCATGTTTGGATTCGACCATTCTACGTTCACTGCGCCGCCTTTAAAAAGTATTCCCGCTTCGGGAACCAATCTCCTTCTTCCCATGGCGGCGTCTCGATGAGTTTTGTACGAGACCAATACGTACAGGAGAAAACCGTGTGCATTTCGGTAAATGGCAACTTTGTCAACCTCGTCCGTTACCTGATAGAGGCGCTGAAAACAGAAGTACATCTAGTCAGTGAAAAAGGAAAGAAATACGACAAAAATAAATTAAAACTTCTATATCGTCGAACTTCAGTAATTTCTTTCCTCGATGAATTATTGGATAGTTTCTGGCATTATTCAAATCAGATTTAAATGGTCTGAAATTGATCAACAGTAATCAAATTAAATTTCGTTTAAATAATGAATCTGATGCGAATTAAAAAAAAAAAATAAATCAATAGCTGAGAATACGCTTCTCGTTTATTTTCACTTTCCCATTCTGTTAACGCGTATGATTATGACATTAATTTATATTAAATATACATACATTGTAAACCGTTTTTCTTTTCATTTATCGTACAAGAAACGAGCCTGAGCAAATAAATATGTAAATCGATGTTTAGCCAATGTATTGCCTCGCGTATTCTCGTATCGTATTACAGCTGCGTATTATGAATGAGATACCATCGCCACACAATCAAACACATCAAAGAAACGATACGAGGATATCCAAGAAGTGGATGATACGCATTTTCAAACAACTTACCCTCACGATAGTTTCAGAATCGAGGTGCTGGGGCAACTGGTTTATACAGAGACGACAATTATTAGTACTGGCCACGACACCGATCCTTTTTCCGGGATAAATTTCGTACTGATCCAATTCCTTCACAGCACGAATTGCTTCCTCCTCGGTGGTGTACATGATGAAGCAGTATCCTCTGTTCGTGCCAGAGAAGTCCATCATCAGACGCAGCTCGTAAATCTGTCCGACCGTATTGAATATGTGAACAATGTCGGGCTCGTAATAATTTCTAGGGATACTGCCGACAAAAATCTCGCATTTGGGACCTGGAGGCGGTCCTTCCCATCCTGGGGGTGGTCCTAGCTTCCTCTGTCCATTTACTTGCGTCAACGTAAACTTCGAATCTGCTATGAATTTCAGCAGTTTCAAACAATTTTCCATTTGGTTGTTCATTTCCAAAGCGTTGTTGGCGCTTCGCAGTCTTGGAATCGATCTCGCAGTTCCTGCAATAAAAGTGGAGGGGATGTTATTTTAAACGAAGATTTCGTTCCCTCCTTTTGTCTAAAAAAATTGTTAAAACTAACATCTTTGACATTTCAGTCCTCTTACACGAGACTTTCTTCGGGTATTAATATACAAAGAAATTAATCCTTGGTGTATCGAACAAAACTCTGAGACTATATGCGCGTACAAAAATACTTTAGGTTATTTTAAAATACTGGAAGAGTGAAATTAATATTTTTAATTCCCAGGTTAAGAACCACTGGTCTACGCATTAAGGAAAAGTCGCTGGGGGGCAAGAAAACGTTTTTGAGGGTCAACAAAGAGTTCCGATTTATGACCTGACCTGCAATCGAGTCGAGTTAGGGACACTTTAAATTGGACAGATGAACCACGACTATCATAAATCAGAAGACACTCGAAACCCTCGAAACCTTATTTATTTTTCTTGATTATATCACTTACATTTGTCACGAGGTGTGTAGAAATTACGTTCGACACGAAATACAATATAGTAAAATAGGAATTGAAAAATTTATACTGATAATATATGGTCCCCGGTTACAATTGTTTCAAGTCAATTACAGTTACATTTCCAACATAATAAAAAATTTGAATAAAGTTTTTCCTATGCTTAGAAATAATTAAGAGAACAAATCACATCGTTTTATATAATCGTTCGCTTGTGTGAACAGCGCGCACATTCACACGTTTATGCATATCTTCCAAAACAAGTGAAGACTGGAAGGCAACAATAAACGTGCAACGGTAATTTTAGCATTTTACAACATAAAAAAAAATACACAGTCATGATCGAGCAAAAATAGCCACGAAACGATCGTTCTTTATTGGGTTAATGGAACCAAATATATTTGTATTAATCGATTATTCGATTACAAAGAAAATACTTCGTCTTACTCTTGTAATATTTTTAAATAACACTCACCCAATTGTGTTTTACTATGTTTATTATTGTGAATTTGATTCCAGGGCTCAGTCAATTCTTCGATCTTCAAGCCGAAAGTTGTTTCTTCTGTTTCACGATTCTCAGTCCTGTCGTTCTTAACGCTGGTTGACATTTTAGTTACTTTTTAATAAACTTCACCTTTTTCTTTGTTTAAACACACGAGAGTAGAGGATCAAGTCGATCGGTTGGATTTGACAAATCAGTAGGCAGAGAACAAAGGCTGATTTAAATTAAAAGATCGATAATCGACAAACACACCATCGCGGTTTGAATGGAACTGTGAGCTAAGGCTCTGGCACACCATAACAGGTCAACTATGTAGGGTCAGATGGCGCTTTTTTCGGCCTGCTGCCATAATACTTTAGGGGGAATGTTTTCTCTTCTTTCAACCTGCAACTTTCTTTTCCCTTTTACGTTCAAGCGCTTTCTTCTGTTTTACTTTATATATCATATCCTTGGCTGTTTCTAGAATATCCGATCGAAGTATCGGAGTATCATCGAATAGCCTTGAACATCATTTCTTCCGTTAATTAAAGAGTTTTTAGATGTGTAATAAATATTAAAAGAAAGGTGAAGTTGTCTCTACTGAAAATTTTGCTTCTGTTGAATAATCTATTTAAATTATTCATTACGAGTGTTACCAAATGTGAATCACGTTTGCATTTGAATGTTTAAGTACGTCGTACAAGGATGAAGTGTATTCAATTAAATTTGAAATTCATCTTTTTACTGTTCTCCTTTATATTGCTATGACACGATGGATTTTATACATAAATTCAATTTATACTTATTTTATTTTCGAGGCACAAATTCTCTCTTGAAAGGAACTCTTGAGTTTAGTTTCAAGGGTGATTCGATAATTCCAGATATTCGGTTCGTTACATTGTTGCCCGAAGAACCTGTTAACTCCACTCGAGATTTGAGATAAACGACCTCTTGGCTAGAATTCACCATACAATGTTTCCGACTCGTCACGTGTTCGTGGAGACACACGACACGAGTGGCTCGAATAAAACAAACGCCAATCGATCTGTTTGTCAGAGTACGATTCCACGAAAATTTTTTAATAAAACAACTTGCACTGTCCGGAATTGTGAAACGATTAATATGTGCATACGCTTCTTGTAAAACGGATTAAATTTCAGTCTAATGTAGCAAATATTTTATAATATTTACGTAATTTTTATTTGACGTTTATATTAAAGACTTTTAACCTAAAGTTACTTGACTCATAGACATGTTGCAAGAGTAAGGTGTATAATTTGTCATATATAATATCGCGTGTCTGTACGTACAGTACGTAAAGCTCAATTAACATACTATGACTTGAAATCTTAAGATCAAACGTCTCATGATTCATATCGTTCTAGGCAATTGCCATTCCCTATAATATCTCAGAAGTATACAACAATTTTTAATTTTAAATTTTCAAAGTATGAATTCGATTTTAACACAATTTCTAGGGTTACTGCCCCTGGGTCATAAAAAAGCAAATACACATGGCATTCTTTGAAAGACAATAATTTTCTTTGTGCATAAATAAAAATTGTCATACAGAAAACTACTTTAATTGCATGCTTGCAAGTGATTCAGACTGTGACTCAAAAGAACAATGATACAAAACGATCACCTTAAGGAAGCATTTACCATCAGAATTTTTACCTCATGAATTTGATTACACCTCTAACAAAAATATAATAATTATTTTTCCTGTCGTTCGTACAAAGCTTTACTGTGTAAAAGACCATTCATCGGTTCGACTAAACGCTATCGGACCGGTTCAAGGTACCCGCAGGTCGTCAAGCACATCTATGGTGCTCGTTGCGAAAATTCACACTGTCCTGCGCCAATGCACCGTGCGATAATAGCATTGTTGTTACCTGCAGTACGCAGACGTTATTACGTGACATAGCTCGTGCAACTTGAACCACACGAGTCTTCCTATCTCTTCAGTTGTCGTTCGAACGCGCCGCGATTCGAGTCTTCTTTTTCACAATCCTTCCGATCGAGGTCCACTAATGAGAAAGACAAGACCACGGCACCGTTCCACTCGTTTCTTTACCGATAGCTAATTTAGTTCGTCTTCGACTGGACGTCGCGATGAATTCAGTCGTTCCTCCTCGACGTCGCTTTTAACCGATTTTATCTTCGACATTTCTACAGAATGAGCGAAATAAATCGTTGCAATTTTGTTTCATCCGGTCACCCCGTTTCTATACGTATTTTTTCGAAAATAACTGCGTTAATAGATTGAGACTTTTACGTGGGTCTGGTTACGTTCAATTCTGTCATTGATTTCGTTTTACAGTGATCGATGAAAGTGCACAATTTTGGTTGGTAAATGTGCCAACGAGAGAAGAACATTGATTTAATCAAGAGATTGATTTTTTCTAAATTGTTCTGAATTATTCCGCGCTCGGTGCAAGTTAGTTTTTTCAAGAGTACAAGTTTTGAAACGTTCGCAATGCACATTTAGCCGCGGTGAATTATCGTAATAATGGCTGGTTTCAAAATCACGGTATTGTGACTTCCAACTGTCTAGCTCGTAGTTGGATGATTTGTTAATAGCCTGTGACTTCTCGTAATGCGGCGAACAAGAGTGAGAATTGCGCAAAGGGATCAGGATCAGTCGCTTCTTTGAATTCTCGTACGTCGACAAACATGTGGAACCGGAAAGTATTCATCAGGATCATCGAAGTGGTGTGTAAAAGGAACATTACAAAATTATAAAATTAATTTATGTCTTCTACTTTTCTTTCATCCAACAATTAAAAGAATACTTTTCGAAGTCCTGGGTTCGCTAGTTTTGTTATGAAAAATATTTATACAGAATCAGGCCTTCGTATTTCAGAAAACGCTTTTAATTGGTTTTAAGTTCTTGTTCCCATGGTGTCAAGATAATACCTTCCCCGTTTGCTCTCACAATTAATTATTTATAATTGTTCTGGGAAAGCACTGAATCTATACTTGTTCTCACTTTTAGTTCGTTCGAATTTATTAAAGAAACGTTCAATTTCCAGATACTGTGCGTTGCATCTGTAGTGGCGCTTAGAGTGACTAACGATGAAAGTCGAAGAGTGTTCCATTACCTGAGAAGTCGTAGCAGAGAATGGTCTCTGTTGAACAACGTGACATGGGGTGCCATTGGTACGATTATATTTCCATATGTATTATTCTATTTTCGATTATATAAAAAGAAAATTTGTTAGTTATCCTTTACTGTGTTTATATATATTTTTAATTGGTATTTCGATATTTCTTTTTTAATCCAGGCGCTGCTCTAGCAACTGCGACCTGCGGTGGTTACATAATAATAACGACAGGGCTTCTGATTGCTGCCGCGACAGGGGAGCTTTCTGGTCGAAAGATGGTAAAAGTCTCTTCCATTCTTATTTCTTTCTATACTACGTGCTTGCAACACGAACAGGAATTTTACGTGCACTCTATGAACTTTTAATTTCGTCTTCCTCGACAATTATGCAAGGCCTTGTGGTTCCCTAATAGCCCCATTGTTTGAGCTCTTCAAGATACTATTTCTCCTTTACGGGACACTGCGTCCTTCGACGATACTGATTTCTATCGCGCATTGATGTATTTTCTTTTTTAATGAACGCCTCTAACGCGGAATTTCAGTCATCGAAAAAATCGTTTGTGCATTTGCCTCGAACTTTCTTTCGCACGATTTCAAATTTTCTAATAATTTATTTACACACACGGGAGTTTATAGGATCTTATGTTGAACAAGTAACGAATAAATTATTGCAAGGTTTCAAAAAATATCAATTATTCCGTATTAACACGAATCAGATAAATTCCTTTGCAATTGAAATCAGAAGCAACCGTTTATCCAAGACAAATGAATGGCTCTCTCACGATGTTAATCTACAGCGTTATTATATTTTCCAATATCCTTCCTGGTGTGAATCGTTTTCCCCAAGACACGCCCCGTTCGTTAGGCGCAGCGTATTAACATAATAATCGGGCTGAATTGTGACTTGCCGCGGCGTACTGATAGAATTCTTTCTCAAGGATACTTCTCGCCTTTTTTTTCTTTTAATTTATGCGGGTCAACAAGTCGATCGAGAAACGTGGTAAAAATAGGACATGGATTTCAACGATAGCGTGAGAATATCGACGGCGTATCGCGATAGTTCTGTCATTGAGGGCCAAGGTTAGAAATATCCTTAACGCAACCAACTTTACAAGATGAAGCACGTAACTGCATCCTTGGCATGTGGCAATTCAGCCACGTAATGCGTGCGCTACTGTGACTTATTTAATGACTCATAGCCGAGGCTTGGCGAATCACGGTGATACCTCAACGCAGATCTGCTTCTACTGATTGTCAGACAGACATTTGCATAGATAATATTTAAATGTTAGGGATAGATCGACGTATGTATAAAGAAATCACTGTTTTTTATTTTAAAAGAGATCATTGGAGATTGTTAGTCCATGTGTGTTTGAAACTTGCGATTCTGAGGCTTAAAATCTGTGAATGTCACTTAAATATGTTTGCGAATCAAAGTGATTTGAAGATCACTGCGTGCAATCATTTGGTCGCATGTAAGAGGTACAGAGAATTAGGGTTGCACATCTGGTAGAACCAACCCCAATGTCTCGGGTTTATGGCACGGCAATCGCTATTGAGGAAAGGTAGAGGGACAATAAATATGTACATGTTCGACAGAAACGTAGAAAAAGGTAACTTCTATGGTCTCAATTTAACAGAAAGCCCTTCCGGAGGCCAAATTGTTATTTTAAATAAAAACAACTCGACTTTCTAAACCTCTCATAACAGTGTAAATGGAAGGCAGTTTAAAGCATCCTCAAATGAAAATGAATTGTTACGATGAAATAGGATTAGAAATTTAAAAGAGCCAGTATTGTATCTTTCTGATAGAAAGTCTTTAAAAGGAACACCTTTTGTCAGTCCCTGAAAACAAAAATTTAATACACGAATTCGTGAGGATTTCGTCTTTGTTCTTTGATTCGGTATGAGAAAGGAAGTGATAGGCGGAAGGAAGTCATTAATATTTAACGATCACCGTTACCACATACCTGAAGGTTCCTTTTTTTTATTTAAGGAATCGTTCTTTCTGGGACTCGGTGTCGTTCTTTTTGGCATCGTTGGCGCTTTGTCCATGGCCTCTATTGAAAACGTTCCTGAGGACTTGGTAGACAATGCCGCTGTCTTTGGTGCGCTGTGCTTGTTGACTGCGTTGGTTTTTATCGCGGACTTGCTTATTAGTACACCGAAAAAGAAGATCGAACGGGCCGTGGCGAAACACTTGGCTGCTAAGACCGGTAAATCACAGGGGACGTTAAATTAACATCGAGACAAGAAATTGTCATTCGAAATGATTCTTGAAACTTCGTAGAAAATATTTTTATTAATTTCATCACAATATTCTTCCTCTCTAAAATCAATAGCTAAAAGTCAAGCAACCATGTTCACCGAGAAAGAGTCGAAATCCCCAAAAATAAGTAGCCCCAAAATCTCGAAAGAGGACGACGACGGTACTGTTAACGATGGATTCGAAAAGCTCGACGAGCAACATCAAAAGAGCGCAACAGAATTGTCCGAAAACGCTCGAAAACGGGACCACGATCGCAGAGACGATGAAAACGAGCGCTACGTTCGCGGGGAGTCGGAACCGAAAGAGTACACGCAGAACTTCGAAAACGGAAGAGCTCTCAGAAATTCGCAAATGCAAACGAACGGGAAAAGGAACTCGTACAAAATGGACCACAGAATGGACGTGTCTACGGTAGTGTACAAAGCTCAGGACATTTATCAGCGTCCTGTGGACGAAGTGGACACGCCTCGTTTCCCGACCGAAACGAACAACAGGAGCGAAATTATGTTCGCGAAAATTGTCAACCCGGGCGTGAAGATAATGAAAGTTGAGCACGATGTCGATGAAACTCTCGACACTTACAGGTACGTTTCATCTCATTCTGAGTGAGTTTAATTTTTCTGACATTTCGTTATTGAAGTCATTTAATCCACTAAAATTGTTTTTTTTTTGTTAATTTTCCGTTACTCGATATAGGATCTTCCACAGACTTTCGACATTTTTTTTTCTTGTTAAAAGCTACTCAGCTTGGCTAAAGGGAAAATGATCTTCGCCTTTCTATGCCTTTTATGGCCAGTTAACGGGAGGTCTCTGACATCTGGTCAGGCCCGAATTTCGCCAAGTATGGTTGCCTGGTTTCTGTCACCATGAACAATGTGTGAAAAGAGGAACTCTTTTGGGAAACAGACCCGCTAAAATACAAACTTTCTTACGCACTGGTGCTCGAAACCATGTGTTTTCTGTGTTAATTATCCACGAGGGTAGTTCACGAATTAAAAAATTTCAGAAATATTGAAACATTTCAATAAAATAATTCATAACTATTTTTTTTTCATATAATATTTAAAGATACACTTTGAAAAGGTGAAACTACCCCTGCACGATATTTAAATATTTTCACCTGTAAATTAGAGAATAACTTTTCATGAGTTAATCAGTCAAAATTTGTATTACAATATTTATTCTTATCAAAGCAGAGACTTTCAGAGTACCTCAATTTTTGTACGAGATCCTGTGTTGCATTAACTAGTGAAAGGGTTGAGACTTCTTCTTAGATGATTGGTTACCTTTTGATCGATGTACGAAAATTTCTTCACACGATGGATTCTCGTTTTACGTTCGTAGATATTCCGACACCAGCCAGTACGACAACGTACCTATTCGGATGCGAGGAATGTCGCCGAGTCAGAAAAAGAATCGCGATGTCACTTTCAAGATTCCACCGCCACCGAAGGGTTACGGGAAGGTTTACGACAAAACCAAAGACGAAATGGAGATGCTCGAAGAGTGTTTCGGTGTACTTCGAACCACCAGCACGGGAACACAGACACCTGGAATTCGATCGCCATCGTCACCGACTGATCCCGGATACGTTCGACACACAGCCAGCAATTGGCCTCAAGAAACCAAGACGAAAACACCTGGTCACAGTCCCAATCACACATTAAAGGCATAAAACTTTGATTCGATATTAATTTTCGTAACTCTGCGATTGGAATTCGTCTTGCCTCGTTTCTGAAAGACTTATACGCGCGCTTTTTAATTGAACGATTACTATTCTCACTGCCTTCGAACGTAAATGCTTGCGGAGATTAGGAAAACGTTAGCGTGAATGTAAAACGCGACGTCTAAAGTTTATTTCAAGAGTGTGTATTACGTAAATCTGTAATTAATTGGTATCTTCGATGAGTTCTGAGAAAGGAGTAAGGAATCGGACGTGAAATTTCGTACACGCGAACGTTCTTCGTATATGTAGAAATTTTAATATAAAGTTTAACACCTCTGTTCACATCGATACGCATACGTACAATTATTAATAATAATGTCTCCTTGTGATAACATGTAACCGCAGCTTGTTAGTCTCCATCAGAACGTACTCGTTAAAGATTAGTCTGCAATCGGATTTACATAAAATCTTTCGTGTACCGTATTGTTTCTTTTTCTTACACTTTGTATAAATAAACGATTGTACTGAACACCCGAGAATTGTTATTTTATTCGGCTGTCGCGAAATTGAAAAACAAAAAGAAATCAATCGGAAAACGCAGTTCGCGACCGAGAGTATCGACGTGTCATGCTAATTAAGCTTCATTAGACCGTCCACCTCCCCTTCGACCATTCACACAGTTCTCCTTTCCTCTAAAACGTTTCTAAACGCGTATTTACAGAGCCGAGAATAATTGCTTAGATACTTGAGCATTGGTTTCTCTTCTTCTTCGTTCTTCTGTACATCAACGTTGTTACGTACAAAAATTGATCCACGTTGACGAAGAATCACGATCGTGCGTTCTCATTTTCGAAACGCTCGTGAATGAAAACGATATGGTGTAACTAGATCATCTTATTATTTTATGAAATTGATTTTTTGGATCGACGTTGTTGGGTTCTACTCTCCATCGCGTTCAACCGAACGCAACGTTCTCGATCTTTTACATTCTACTGGTATCGAGGTACGAGTTTCTGAATTATTTATTGCATCGTTGCTACATCGGTCAATGTCGATTGAAGAAAATTCGTAGAATGTACACGAGGCGCGGGGAACACTGCCACGACACCGGAGAAAATTCTAAAGATTCTAGGTGTAACAATTTCTACCTTTCTTTTGCGTAAATATCGTGGTCGTTCCTCTCCTTCGTCGCTGCTAAAGCTTTTTCGAGGTATATACAAATCGAAAGGCTTTAAAAACAAAATTCATTACCTTGATCGCATTTTCTCCCGGCAAATCTCATCCAAATTGTTCTACAAAAATTTTTACATTCGTCTCCATCGTTAATAAATAAATAATAAAAGAGTAAAACGCGCGTGTTATCGACAATCTTCCCAAACCACGATTAACGAAACGATTACATTTTTCCACCGAATAAACTTTCTTCTCGCGTGCTTCTTTTGGTTCGGGGACTCGACAGACTTATTTCTATTTCCCGGGATTGCATCGTACAAAAAAAAACACGCAAGAAACACGCCCAAAGACACGACAAATAATTCCTTACCAAAGTTTTACAAACTCACGTATTTTACAGATTCCTCAGGAACGGATCTTCCCATCTTCTTTATCCGTTGTTTCACGCTTATTTCTTTTAAATACGTATGTACAGCGTTTCGTTACCGATCAATCGGCGAAAAGTATTGGTATTCCCATTCACGCTGCCAACGAATAAACGCAGAACAGATAAATAAAAAACTCAATAATTTTATCTCATTCCAAAACCAATGCCAGCGCCTTGATTGTTGGTCGCCCTCTGTTCCATCGTGATGTATTGTCTAATCAGTCGCGAGATTTCGTGAGCTTGCTCCGTCTGGAGCCTGGTGATACGCTGCTGCATCAGATTGCCACACTTCATGTCCAGGTACAAGGTTCCTTCCTCAGATTTTACCTTCCTGGTAGAGATCACCTCGGAGTACGGATAGTGGTGCAACGTCTCCTGCACATTTTTCAACCATTTTATTTCGTATATCAATAAATAATTAATTATAGAAGTCTATATTCATCCAGTCGTTATAAAAAAATTACGATCGTATGCTGTTGTGGCCCTTCTTATGAGAAGAGGTTAATTGTTTGATTTTTAAGATCGAGACTTTTCAAATTGAAAATGCAAACATTTAGTAGAAACAAAGGCTGTTTGAAATTGAAGATTAATATGTAAATGTGAAATTATATCCATGGTATTAAATCGCTTACGTGAGTGATTAGATCAATGAAGTGCACTCCATGTCTGTTCAGTGCCAGTATATGATCGCCACCCTTTTCTTTCCCTTCGGGCACCCGTTTCACGGCGAAGAAGCTGGACCCGAACAGCGGCCATTTCCACAAAATTTCTAAGGCAGAGTCGACGTTGATAGAACATATATTCTTTAAACGAATTAAGAAGGAGAAATGGGTTAATTGAAAGCTTACCAAGAACTTGAGCTTTGCAAGCAGCTACTGCGTTGAGCTGTACATTGTTCCACGCCTGTTGGACCATGTTCGACCACTGCTGGGGCCGTGGCTCTCTTAAACTGAGCACAGGTTTTGGCAACAGATATTTTATTTCCTTGGTGGTTGGTTCGTGCGCCATGTCTGCTGCTCTGTGGAGAAGGGCTGCTATCTGCGCCATGTCATACTGGGGGAAAAAAACGAAACTTGATTAGAACTTTTGCGACAAAAATAGTTTGGGAATTTAGTGGTGGTTAACAATTTACGATTATTATTTATTTAAAAGCTTACGACGACTTCTTGAGGTAAGTGTTCCCCAGGCAAGACCAGGAGAAGACCCTCCAAGTAGTCCGGAGCGATTTGGTTGAACACAACTTCTATGTACAGTGGAGCATCTAGTCTAAGAGGGTAGTACCAGACGGATCTAAACAAAACAAAATTGTATCATAGATTGGTAATACATTTAAACATCATTATATACTGTGCTATCCACGATCAAGTTTTCTAAAAAGCTTCCTCACGAATCATTCTTGAGCAACGTTTTCAGACTTGTTTACGATCAGAGACGAGGAAATTAATTTCCGTTTTTTTGTATACCTGCAGAATATTAAGTAAAAGACTTGGTGATTCTTATGGAGTTCCGTGGTCACATCGAGCACATATTCGTCTCTAGCTAATGGCATGGTGAACGCATCACCGTCAACGATGCAGTATAACGAGAATTCGTCCATTTCGTGGGGATGTCTCACGGATATTACGTTGCACATTTCTTCGATAACATCCTGTTAAAATAAAGAATTGGAAAAGAAGCTCCGCGATTCTACACAGAGTTTTCTTCATCCCTGATGGTTTCGTAGATTAACACCTACCTGCACCACCGTCGTACATTTCGTGTTGATGACCCTCTCTGTTCCACCTGGCAGTCTATAAATCTGTCTCTTGGCATTTCTGCCAGCGCTGATCGCCATAATCTCGTCGACGCTGGGCACGTTCTTCCTCCCACCGTATTTAACAGTTTTCCTGAGGTTCTGCAGGCACACCGTGGCGGTCCCGTGATAAGCCCTGCGCTTGTCGTACGCCGCCGTTTCGAGGTACTTGGTGAGATAAGGCCTCAGACCGTCGCTGCAGGTGAAATAGGCAGCGACGATGCTGAAGATCCTCCAGCCACGCTGACAACTGTCCGGATTCGGGCTCTTGTTGTTCGTGGTCTGTTTCATCAGCTGGCAGTATACCTCGTCCCGCAAGTGCTCGTACTTATGACAGTGCTGCAACAAAATAGCTCGGTGAGAACGAAGTACCTCGGGCAGCCGCGATTCCAGTTGCACGGAGATTCAACAGAAGTGAAAGCGCCGGGTTTCGCTCTCGGTAATTGTTTCGAGAATTAACGCCGCGCGAGTAATTGCTGCCTACGGTGGTGTGGAGAATAGCTTTTTTGGGACGAACGAAGACGGAAAGATCGTAGCAGTGGAATCTTTGATGATGTGCAAGTTAATTTGAATCAGATTGCCTTGGACTCTACGACTCTCTCTGTTTCCAGGTTTAATTAAAACTGAATCAAGGCGAAGGATTCCGAACACTTGGTTTCGATTATGAGAAATTAATTGCGAGCTTGTGGAAGTAACGAAGTTGTCATCATTAATGAAGCGATCGAAACACTTTCTGAGAAATTGTTGCGTAGACAGTTGGTATGATTGAAGAGTATTATAAATAGAATCTACGATACATTAGAAATTAGAATACGTTTTTGTTTGACGATTTCACGGATATCGGTAGCTTTAATTGCTACATTACAGTGAAATTTTGAAAGTGATCTAGAAACACGAGGAGAGTGTAAACTTTCAGATACGTATTACTGTTGCTTTTAATTGTCGGACAAAAATTGTTGCTCACCATCAGAATAGTGTAAACGCATTTTACTTCGCTGGTGTCTGGAGGCAGCGGTTGATCTCCCATGTACCTCATGAGACAGACGAAGCACTCGACAGCCAACGCGCTCAAATCTGCGTCCAGCCTCAAAAGACTTTGCTCGATCGGCACTGGGGAGTACTTGACGAGATCCACCTGCTCCTTCCAGGTCCATTCCGCACCGTCCTGTTGACCTTTGCTCTTCTTGTTCTTCTTTTTGCTCTTCAGAGACTCGATGACTTTCAGAGAGCCACTTATGGACCCGTCTGCAGTCTTCAACATCTCGAATCTGTCGAAGGGAACGTGTCGTTCAAAAATTCTGTCATTGTTATCCGCGGGACAATCGCGCGAAGCTCCGATCGCGTAAGAAGACTGTTAGAACCAATTTAACGACGAAACGGGACTTGGAGGTGACGTGGGTAATAGCTTTCCAAAACGGAAAACGTCTCGTCGGAGGAGCAGAAGGCCGTAAACGGATTTTCCATTGCAGGATGTTGTCACAGAGGAGGAAAAAGTCCCGTTGAGAGTACTGGCTGGGTGGTCGTCACTTGTCAAAGTCATGTTTAAGAAGTCTGTTCTCTAGTTAGGTGTTCTAATGATCCTCCTTTAACTTTTGCTCCCCGCAACCTGCTGGTTCGTTATCGTCTTTACGACGTTTCTATACTTTTATGTTTCTGCATTAAACAATGTTTCCTTCTTAAAACAGTACTGACAGTCTTTTGCGCTCTATAGCGCGTTACTATTTAATTGTTTACGGGATATAAGTGTACGGTCAAAACGTTATGCATAACTGGAGAGAAATTGCGGTTCATTAGATCCAAACAATGTCTTCTTTCTTCATCGTGCACGATGAGGCAAGACGGTAACGAGACTGAGAACACTTTGAACCCGATGCTGTTATTACCATGCATTGAAATCACCCGAGCGGCGTTTGTATTAATATTACGTTCACGATTATAATATATGAAAATCATTTTGACTTTTTAAAATCGTTGATAATTAATCAAAATTAACGAGCCATGTGTCAATACATAGCACCGAGTTCATAAAGTTAATAAAAGTTTGCAAATTGTATTCTTACAAACACGTGATTGCAGTTGGCGATTACTGTTGACGAGGTTTATGTCGAACTTCAGTACATCGTTTGCAAATTATTGCGGAGCAGTTGCGTTCGCGACGAGTATTTTTACAATATGTTCCCGTTGCACTCAGCAGCGACTAGCCAGCCACTCGTAAAATATGTATTTCAACAAATCCTCGCGTTCGACGAACGAATCCGATTTTGATGAATCGAATACCGATTGGCACGATACGAAACGCCGCGAAACGGTAACTCGCGGATCGTGGACCGATGCCCAAAGAAGACGAGGAGTACCGGTTAGCCGCGCGTTCACCAAGATGGTCGATGCTACTCTGAGAACCGCAGTGCGTTATGCTTTCTCAACACGGTCGACTCGGGTTTCTTGCGTAAGAGAGGCCAATTAGTCTTTAACATTAATTTCCCTTTTATTACGGTGCCGCGGTTTGGTAAAGGTATTTTTGCTAGTGCCAGAAAATGATCCCCTTTCTCGATATAAGATGCTTTTTGAGTACTTACTGATCCAAGCCTAGAGCAGCGTGCAACAGGTTGCAAAAGAGAGGAGTTAAAAATTGCGATAAGACGTCTTAAACAGTTTCGTATTTTTCGAATCGTTCGTTAAAATTTAAAATAATATTACAATTATTCAACGTAATATAAATAAAAATGTACCACTGATTCACGAACTTAATAAAAATACTACAGGGACAAAAGGTTGCCAACCACTGGCATACAGGATGTCCCGTAATAGGTGATACAGCCTTCAGGGTTGTATTACTTTTCCTGGTACATCGTACAGCTGATTACTCAATGATTATAAGTATGTCATCAGAGTACCACTAGACTCTCAAACAACATTCCTAATCCCTTATGGAGTTAACTTTCTTATAATATTTAAAGTATTTCATGAATATTTGCATTATAGAAATTCCCCTGAAGTGTATAATCGATCCAAATTTCGTTTAAAAAGTTTCCCAGGCAAGTTGTAACAGAGTCTCGCGAAATTTGTAGGAAAATGGATTGAAGAACGTCGAACGATTACTAACTTCTCTGTGCTTTGCCTGAAATTCAGCATGGCGTATTGCAAAAGAGAGTGCTTTCCATCGTTGACCACCGGCCCGCTCTCGTAGATACCATCTTCTTGCAACCTGCCGTTGTCTTCCGGTTGCCGCCATTCCTGGTTCGGGCTGAGTCGCTGGTTCTGCTGGTTTTTCTGATGGTTCGTCTGGTTCGTCGCCGACACGTGGTTCGGCACACGACTCGCGGGCACGTGGTTCTCGTGATTCGAGATAACGTGATTAGATTGACCGTGAGACTGGACGTGATTCAGAGAACCGTGATTCGCCTGCGACTGGATCGATTTCGTGATCTGGGATACGTGGTTCTCGTGATGGTTCGGCTTGTGCAACGGCTTCTGGTCGATCTGTAAACGAATTACACCGTGTTATTCATTTTATATATTTCATACCATCACGGTATCATCATTTGAAAAAATCGACTGTTAAATGATTTACACTTTTCATTTCGTATAAAAATAAACAAAATAACAATTTTGTACGTATGCAAATAGTCCTCGCTATTAACTGTAGTAGATGTACGTACATTTAAAACCATGTCTCTGAAAAGGGTAAATAGGAACGCATTTAAAAAAAGAATTGATATGTCTGTTTTAAGAAGTGGTAAAATTAATGTATAGTGGAATACTGTATTCAGTTAATTTCATTTTAAAATTATTCTATCTTTCGGAAGAAATGCACGTATAATTTGTTCCGTTGGTTGATGCAAGATTCAAATTTTGATGCTATTGAATTCGTGGGAGCTCTGGATGATTTTATCTCGAACTTTTGCACTTATTAATAATTATGTTAAGACTACTGAGAGAACAGAAATAGACGATCGAGGAGAATCTCGACTCGTTTGCTGAAAGACACGAAATTGAACTTTCACACAACTTCTAGGAGAAAAACCTCGATCTGGAGCAAAGGAAACCGTTTCACTCTTTCCCAACCAAGCGATTATTATTAAAATACTAATTAGGTTTAGTAAATTATTTAAAGATAGGTTAATGCATTTCGAGCGACACGTTGGCAATTAAACGATGTTGTGATTAAAGAATCATATTTCACTGGTTAAGTATCGTTTCCATTGACGTCGCGAGACTGGATTTCATTTTTCGTTGACACGCTTCTTCCGTTTCATTATTCCCGAAAGATCAAGATGTTACATTCGACTACGTAAATTACCAGTGTATAATCCTCGCATGTGGGCGGTACGTCGCCCTGGTTTCGCGAGTGATTTACACGAAGGTATCTCAAACCTTTCCTATTATTCATTTTCTCTTTCAGCTACTATTTCCTGCTTTTCACCATCACAGTCACGGATATCTCGGATCTATCGATCGATCTCGCAGACGAGAAAACGGGTTTCCCTGCACGCGATCGAGAACAAACTCAGGAACGCGAGAAACAACATGATTAGCAAGATTCAAATATCATTTTCCTTATTTTACCGATGAAACGGTTCGATAGAATTAATAAATTAACTGGTTAAACAGTGTCTGACATATTTAAACACTTTTCTCTACTAAAATATATTTTTTTGTTGATCTAGAAACGACAGTAAGCGCTACTTTCATCGTAACAGAGTTTTATTATTTAAAATTTGAAAATTATTGTAAAAATTGAATTGTATATTTAAAAATCATTTCTCCATTATGGTCTCCCAAAGGTTTACAGTTGAAATTACTAACCTTATAAAAGATCGAAGTAAACTAAAAGTTTAAATAATTTTATCAATAAATTATTTATTGATTGCAGAGAAAATTTTAAACACAAATAAGAAACCAACGTGCTTCTGAGTTTATAGCAAAAAATCGATATAATTTTTACTCCATACGCAATTTTAAAGCACTCGTAATATCGTGAAAGTTGGAATTTATAGCCACGCATGATTGCTTTTATTATTTTCTTCTAATATATATTTACTAAATTGTGATTTCGTTCTTCTGGTCTACGGGAATGATATTGCAATAACACGACCGCCAATTCACTGCAATTTTCAATGTAATGGGCAGCTATTATACAAGAAGGAAGAAATATTTAGCTCGTTGTCAATTTTTATGACTATCAGGGTAGTCTACTTTAAATCAGAATTATCTGCCAAAAGAAAGCAACGATTCTTGTCCTAATTTTGAAACGGCTGTTGTTTCTTAATTACACGTTCCACATCTGACTTTATCTCGCGAACATGAAAGTTCTGCATTCCGTTCTACATTACAGTTTAAATTTCAACCCAATAATATCGTACTTGTTTGAATAGATTCTGACGTTACTAATTTTTGTTCTTCGTTCGATAGAAAGCTGCGGATGAAGACATAAATTTATTCATAAAAACCTGAAGCCTAGATCGCTATAGCCGGTTACTGCATTCTCTGTTCACTTCTGTCATCGATTTATATTTCCATAAAGTGTATTTGTAATACTTGCAACACTTTCGTATCAATAAAATTATTCTTTGTACCACTTAAACTCTACTTTTACTTATCTCAATTTGAATAATTTCTTTGTTTACAATTTTAATGAGAAGAATCGTTGCGAAATATTCTCTAAAAATTTTTTGAAATAAATTCGAAGCCTCTGCGTAGTTTCTCAAGGAAGGAACAAAATAACACCTGGTATATCGATATCTAAGCTTTTACCGACAAAACCTGAATGTACCTGAGCAAGCGGGATAAGCAGATGTTGACCCTGACCTACATATTCGTTAATGCATCGTGGTACCGTGGAAGACGCGAACACACATAGTTACGGTATAGTATTAATAAGAACAATCCACTCGATTTTCCTCGGCCTGTTTGCGGGTTAAATATAGTTCCCACTGTGTCGAAGATTACGGATTCAAAAAGTAATATTTACTTACCGATCTATAGCGAAGGAAAATAATGTAAATGTAAAGCATAAAGTATCGTGACGTGTTCGTGTTAGTTAATTTAAATTGTTTTATAATTATTTATACACTGTCCCAAAAATATCAGAAATTCTTTTGTATACTCTTGACACTGGTTGTTGAAATATCGTGGGTATTCTTTTCAGTAATGTCTCGTTTATAACTATTTCACACTGATTCGGATACAAAACCATAAGTACACGCTCGTCGGGAAATTGCGATGCAGTAAAAAGCTAAGCCATCAATGTGTGCTACTTTTTAACTTCAAAAGGAGTTGTACTGCTCAGCCACCCATGGTACTCGCCTAATTTGGCTCTCTGCGACTACTTTTTATTTCATAAATTACGGGAAAAACAGTTGAATACGATATCGAACATCCACGAGGCGGCGATTATCTCTTTTTACGGCATCTCGATCGGAGATTGCAAAATGTATACTTTCTTCAAAGGAACGTATTTTCAATAATTATCCATGAAAGTTATGACTATTTTTATGAAAAAGTGTTGCTACAATTTAAGGATACTTTTGGTACATATTAAAATTACCACGATAAATTATTTTTTATTAATGTCATTTGAAAAAAACATAGTGAATGGACGCAGTAAAGTTACTTATTAGTTAAAAATCTCTAAAAAACAGTATAGTTTCTTCTCGCCATACTCGCTGAATGAATTCAAAAGTAGTGAATTAAACACAGGAGAAAATTAAAATACACAAACAATGTCAACTCCTAGTACGGATAAACTGCACCATTTGAAGCGTTATGAAGTCGTAATTCGGTCTTCGTTAACCTTAATTGGCCGACGAAGAATGCCTTCTAAGGTGGCACCATTAATTCTGTTTAAACTTTTTAATGGTTCCGCTCGTTACACACGGCGTAGCCTTCAATTACGGTATCTTTACGCCGCGGACGTTTAACTATTTAATATCCACGCACAGTGGTGATGTAAACAGGGCTGATTATTCAAGATGCTCGAAGGCAGTCTCCGTATTCCATTTCGATACTTCATATCGCCCGAATAACGGTAAACGCTTCACCGGCCGACAATTTCTCGTCTTCAGAAATCGGATGTTGCGCGGCCTGCTGGCCGAGTAACTGTCTGAAAATTGATTTTCACGCGACGTACAACCGTGAAACGGAAAGAGACCAACGAGACCTCGGCATCATCAAGGACACCGCGGCTTCGATTAATGGGAAATGAAACTTTATCGGCCGTAAGGCGTACAAGTTGACGACCCTGTTTCTCGACGCGAGCAAATCGCCGCGAAGGGAAACTGCAATATTGCTCGTTTGCGTATTAATACCGTCGATTGGATGCATTAGCATGAGGAAGTATCTCTACGTTCGATGTTCGAGCAAAGAAAAAATAATATACACGATCTTTAGGTGGACAAATTTTTCGGCGAAATTAAAAAATTTCAAATTGTTTTAAAAAAATTATATTTGGCTGCGGGGGTCAATTACAATCATTTTCGGTCAACAGACATATCCCCGAAATCCTATCCACTTTCGAGAAAAAAATTCGAAAATGTGTGAAATTTTTCTTCAAAATTAAAAAATTTCAAATCGTTCTGAAAAAATTATTTTTAGTTGCAGGGGTCAATTACAAACATTTTTTGTCTATAGACACACCCCCGAAATCCTATGCACTTTTGAGAAAAAAATTCCTTACTGAAAATATTATGTCTGACTATAGCATTGATATGTTTCACTGAATTCTCATGCGAATCTTTAAAACATCATTACTTCTGAACGGATTGGACGATTTTAATTTTTGAAAAAGCAAACAACGCGTATTTTAGCCAAGAATATGTAGAAATTTCAAAAATATTCGGAAAGTTGTTCCTTGACCCCGAAAATTGAGAAAATCCCCATAAAAGTGGTTTAATTTTTCAAACGACTATAACTCCTATAATAGTGAAGATATCTCGTTGAAATTTATTTGTGAAGTAGAGCTCATGGATGGTTACAATAAAGTACTAAACAACTTTTCCGTACAGCTTCGAACAAATTTATTAAAAATCATAAACGAACTTTTAAGAAAAATCGACTGGGGAAATTTTTCGGCGAAAAAAAAATTTTTCAAATGGTTCTAAAAAAATTATTTTTAGTTGCGGGGGTCAATTACAATCATTTTTGGTGAATACACATACCCCCGAAATCCTACGCATTTTCAAGAGAAAAATTCTTTACTGAAAATGTAATGTGTGACCAGAGGTTTGTGATTTTAGAGGCCAAAATAAGATGGAAATCGAGAATACAATAAAATATTGCATCCATGAAGGTCTTTCGAATGGAAAGAACTTTAAGAATGACATGTTTTCGTGACAACGAATGCATCCTTGGCCTCTAAACCTGAATAATAAGGAACGTCACTGAATTATCATCTAAAACCAGCACGCAGACCTTGTCGAATAACAATTATTTTGTAAAATAATACAGCAATGACCAAAAATGTCACGATATAAATATCGAAT